CATTTTTACAACAGCCTCCTAAATAGTACCCCTTCTTTAGTCCTACCTTCTCTCTGTGAACCACTCTCCGTGAACCACTCTCCATATGTCAGGTAGAATTTTAAAAGGTGTTTACGAGGTGTGATCAAATAATACAGCGGATGTTTAAATTAAAAAAAAATGTATTACAGTAAAAGACACATTGCCATTAATCCCCCATAAAATACTCCCTCTCGCTTTGAACACACGTATGCCATCGTTCTTGCCACTTTCTGAAGCAGTTCTGGAAGTCCTCTTTCGTGAGTGTCTTTACTTGCGCTGTCGTGGCTGCCTGGATGTCCTGAATCATTTTGACTTTGAGGAAGAGCCAGAAGTCACACGGTGCCAGATCCGGTGAATAAGGTGGATGAGGATACGCCATAATGTTTTTATTTGACAGAAATTGCTTTACCAGAAGTGATGTGTGACACGGAGCATTGTCATTTGACTGCACCAAACAAGTTGAAACTTGTCACACACTGTTACTAAGGTTCAACGTGCCACTTCGCATATTTGAAGATCCCTGCCTATCTGTTGGATGGCACTCAGCAACAGCATTCACTGTATTTTGTGATCACAATGGAAAGGCTCCGTGTCACACATTGCTTCTGGTACAGCCATTTCTGTCAAATAAAAACATTACGGTGCGTCCTCATCCACCTTATTCACCAGATCTGACACTGTGTGACTTCTGGCTCTTTCCCAAAGTCAAAATGATTCAGGACATCCAGGCAGCCACGACAATGCAACTAAAGACACTCACGAAAGAGGACTTCTAGAACTGCTTCAGAAAGTGGCAAGAACGATGGGATAAGTGTGTTTGAAGTGAGGGGAAGTATTTTGAGACGGGTTAATGGCAATGTGTCTTTTACTGTAATAATTTTTTTCATACATTCACTGTATTTTTTTTTATCATACCTCATATTTAAAAACACTGTGCCATTCACTGGTCTAAATGCTTTACNCAGGGGTTTACCGCCCCTACTGTCAAACTAAGTCCTTTTTTTGTAATTACTATGCAGAGCACTTCAAATCTTGAAGGGTGCTCATTTTGGACTCACACAAGACCACAGCTTCCACAAGAGTCCATTAGATTCGTATCTTTTTGTTTCCTAATTTATTTCCTATCTAACTCTAAAGATCTTTGAACTCCCCGGGATCCAAAGAAATATGTTTTCATTTATCTCTTTTCACCTGCAAAATACTTGAGTATGTATCTCTAATGTATAAGAACTTTATAAAGTAACCTTAGTGCTGCTAGTTCATCTAACAGAATTAAGAATTACTAGATGTCATCTAATACTCTGTTCACCTCTTATTCCTCCACCTGTCTCAAAAAGCTCCTTTTACAATTTGTCCAATCGGAATCATAATGAGGCCATACACTGCATTTGTTCTCTAAGTCTTTTCATGTATTGCGATTTTCCACTTCCTCAAAGCCACTGATTTGTTGAAGAAACTGGATTGATTTCTATAATTTCCCATACTCTGGATTTGGCTGATTGCTTCTGGGTGGTATGAATTCTTTAAATTGTTCCTTTATCTCCTATATCTTTGGCAGTAGGCTTGATTAGATTTTATTTTATTTATTTATTTTATTATTATTATTATTATTATTATTATTATTATTATTGTCAAGTATGCTTGATAGGTGGGTAAATGTATCTTCCAAATAGCAAAGACCTCTGAACTTGATAGGACCTTGCATTCTTTGTCTTCCTAAAATATTTAAAATGGTAAGCTGATTGAAGTTTGATATCACACATGGCTTTCAGTTGGACCTGAAGTCACAACTCACATAATAGCTAACTTTTATTAAGTGAGTTCCATGGGCCAGGCTCAATGCTAATTAAGCCCCTTACTTACATGTTTATTTAATTTTCTAAAATTTTCAAGATGAGGACACTAACGCTTAGAGTTTGATTAATCTGAGCCCGTTAGTAAGAGATGGTGTGAGTTCAGGGGTGGAATTGGAATCTCAATTTCCTAGTACTTTCTGCTCGGAACAATTCTATCTCCCAGTCTCAGCATTTTCCGGTTCTCACAGACCCCTGCAGGTATCAATTGCTGGAAAGAGGTCCTTCCCCACCCTGACCCGCCGGGTCTCGGGTCCAGGCGGAGTGAGCGCTAGGAAAACTACAATTCCCGGAGTGCACCGCGACCATAAAGGCCTCACTACCGGCGGCCAGTCGCCGACGCCATTTATGTGGCGGGGAACGGCGGTGCGGCCTGATATCATGGCGCTGTTCCCGGCCTTTGCTGACGTTAGTGAGGCTCCCGATAGCGGGAGCGCCAGGAAAGGTAAGCACACAAAAGGGATGAAGAAGGCACTCGGCAAGCTTAAGACGTAGTTTCTTGGTCCCAGGTCTCGGCCCTTGCCTTGGATTTGTTTATCCACTTGTGTCCCAGAGTTCTCCGCGACGCTGCAAAGCCTTCTGGGAAGGGCTCCTGCCCTTGTCCCGGCTTCTTCGGGACTCGAGTTGTAGAATTAATGGAAGGAGAACGACCTAGCAGAGGCTCTGGAGCTGGGACTTCCATAATATCATTCCTTCTGTGACTCCATCCTTTCTCTGAGCCTGTTAATTCACCTGCAAAGTGGGAATAATGGTACTCCACATCTCAAGGAGACTCCTGGCGCAAATCCTGGGTGTTCTTATGCGCTCTTTCCTGTGTTACTTATTTTTGAAATGTTTATTCCGTTGATATCTTTTGGCAGGCCTAGGATCTAGGATCCAAAGCTTAGTCAAACAGTTGCTCTCCAGACAGTCAAAGCTGCTGGGAATAAAAACCACAGTAAAGCGAGTTGTAATCTTTTTGCTGGTGGAGAGGGTCTTCCATGTGTAAAAAACTCAACACCCGTGAAGCTCAATAAAGCGAAGTGCTATTAAACGAGGTATACCTGCAGTGAATTATAATTTAAAGTAGTTCTAAATCATGCACTTATATGGCCGAGTCCAGTTGTGTCTGACCACCTCCTTTATATAGCCACTCATGGCTCTTACACTTATTGGTAACACTTATTATATTTGTAATTGCTTATATAATTACTGTAATTTTTGGTCATCCTATACTGACTGTAACCTCCATGTGGTCAGGAACAGTGTTTGTCTAATCATTGTAGCTTACTTAGCCCCTAGCACAGGCCCAAAATGTAGTAGGTGTTCAGTAAAAATTTGTTGAATAAGACCAATAGTAGGTACTTAAAAAAAATAATAGTACAAGGTAGGATGTCGTAGATGTCTCAGGTGAGCTACAGGAATAATGACTTCTGACGGGAGGTTCAAATAAGGCTTTATATAGGAGCTAACTTTTGGGATGGGTCTTCAAGAGGGTAGGATTTGGACAAATAGAGTTAGTGGAAGGGCGTTCCAGGGCCTTCAGAGGCATGCAGGAAAGGACTCCTGAGACCAGTGCAGAAATCTGCAGATAGTCTAGTTTATCTGAAAATACAGAGGCATAAAGAGCTGTGGGATATATGGTTGGGACTGGTGGTGAGCGAGGATGGTGACGTGAATAACAAACAGGTCAGGGGTTTATCCCTTTATTTTGGGAGGGC